CTTCCAAACCTGGAATTCCGCGATTCCACATCCAGCCGACTGCAAAGCCTGGGAGAACCCCCCAAAAATCGATTAATACCCGAGATGCTCCTCCCTCAGCCCCTGCTCACAGGAGCTGCAATTCCAGGTGTCCAGAGCATCCCAAACCTGCGCGTTTAAAATTAATTGGGAATTATAAACAAACTAAGCATTGAGGCAGCGCTGGGCCGGGCCCGAGTGCACCATCAACCCGCTGCTCCCTTCAATTATCTTTTTTTTTCCCCACATTGTTCTCTCCTAATGAGGAGACTAATGACCAAAGGATGGTTCATAAGTGGTTCCCAGACTCTCCTTGCCCAGGGCAAACACCGTCCACAATAGGATCACAAATTGTAGGGAGAAGCCCCGGCTGATCACATCAGAAACGGTGCAGGGATTTATCTCTCGGCCTTAACAATAACAGTATGTTCTTAATCGCCACTCCAAAGGGACAACTGGCGGGGGATCTGCCCGGCCTCATCATTAAAAGCTGGCAGCATCTTTGCTAGCGCTGCCCCCTTTGTTCATCTTTCATTATCCCAATGCTCCGGCCCCGTTAATTCCTCTCCATCTTATTAAATCAATAGAGATGGGGTGGGGGAAGGATGGGGCACATCCGAGGCTGGGAGGGGGAAACTGAGGCACGGCAGCTCCACGGCCGGGATAACCCCCAGGACGAGGTTTTAGCAGAATTGGGAAGAGTTTTATCTGCCCACCGGTCCCCCGCGGCAGCAGGGCTCACTTAGTTAATGTTTTAATCAGTTTTTATAATAAAATCACTCCGTGCAAAGGATGGATGGTGCCAAGGTCACCCCAAATTCATTCCACAGTATCAGAGCTCATTTATTTAAAATTTTCATCAGTTTTTACAATAAAATCACTCCAGGCACAGGGGGTCTGGTGCCAAGGTCACCCCAAATTCATCCCACAGCATCAGGGCTCGCTTATTTAATTATTGAATCAGTTTTTACAATAAAATCACTCCAGGCAGGGTTTCTGGTGCCGGGTTCCCCCCAGGGAAATCCGTGCTGGGATAACAGTGCCACAGGGACAAGGGGTTCATTTTTTGCCAGAAACCGTTTGCAAAAAGGGAGATTATTAAACATCCATTTCTATTTCTTTCTCTTCCTTTCTTTCTTTCTTTGGTCACTGCAATGCTCAGTCCATAGAGGGGAATCCTCAGTTTATCGATTTCTTTCTTTCTTTCTTTGGTCACTGCAATGCTCAGTCCATAGAGGGGAATCCTCAGTTTATCGATTCCCCTGCTGCATTTCACTCCACTTCATCCTTCTTTTCATGTATCCAGGAGAGTTTAATGTAAAAATGTGATGCCTTTGCTCCTTGAGCAAGGCAGCTTGGGGAAAATTCATCCCAGACAGTCTGGAAAATGTGGGATGTAGTGGGATTTCCTGCCATTGCTCACGATGGTTTTTTTATATTCCCACTGAGACCGAGCTCAGCAGCCTCGGGAAACTCATTTGATGTTTCAATCGGGAATTAACGGGGAGGGAGAAGCAGGGAAATGCTCCCTGACCATTTAACAAGATTACACGAGGGGATGGAGCCCGGAACACGCTCGGCCCAGGCTGGGCTTTGCCTTGAGCCCCCTCCTGGTCCCATCCCTGCTCGGGACACGCTGATCCCACTGAGTGACCCCCTCCAAACGGGGGGGTCAGCAGCTCTGGGAAGGAATCCGGGATTTTCTGCAGTTCCTGCCCTTGTTCGGAGGCTTTTTGGGGTGAAATGTGGCTCCTCCTGCACTTGAGCCCGGAACACGCTCGGCCCAGGCTGGGCTTTGCCTTGAGCCCCCTCCTGGTCCCATCCCTGCTCGGGACACGCTGATCCCACTGAGTGACCCCCTCCAAACAGGGGGGGGGGGGTCAGCAGCTCCGGGAAGGAATCCGGGATTTTCTGCAGTTCCTGCCCTTGTTCGGAGGCTTTTTGGGGTGAAATGTGGCTCCTCCTGCACTTCAGCCCTGTCAGCAGCGTTTGGGGCAGGCAGGAGCCCCAAAAACAAGGAAAGGGACACGGGAATAATGGAATTATGGGGGCTGGACCTCAGAGTCCTCTCGGTGTCCCCAAATGCAGGAAAAGGGACACAGGAATTACGAAATTATAGGGGCTGGACCTCAGAGCGCTCTTGGTGTCCCCAAAACCAAGGAATGGGACATGGGAATTATGGGGGCTGGATCTCAGAGCCCTCTTGGTGTCCCCAAAAGCAGGAGAAGCAGCGGGGGCACAGGATGGGGGTGGGGGGTTCCAAACGCCGCACAAAACAAAGGAATAATCCCGGCAGGAAGGAGAGGGGTCGGGGACACCCCCAGAGCCCCCGCGCTCAGCCCCACCCGGGTATCCGATCTCCAATCTCCCAATCCCAATCCCAATCCCAATCCCAATCCCATCCCATTTGCAGCTCCTCAGCAGCGCCCTGCTCTCATCCCAGCCATCCATGTCCCCATCCCTGTGAGCCACATCCAGTCCCTCGGGGACGCTCCTGTCCCTCCTCAGCCGCTCGCCCACCCCTCACTCTGCTCGCCCCACGAGCCTCCCTGGGGATTTCTGGAGCCCAGATGTGTCGGGAAGGGCTCAGCGCTGCATCTTTGGCAGATAACCTTTATCCCCTTAATAAAGCTGCTTAATTCTCACTTCCTTTTAATTATCTGTCACTGAAAGCCACCTCGGGTTTTGCAGGCAGGTGGAAAAGCAGCGTCTTTTGGGCTGGGAAGAGTTTGGGATTTGGGATCTTTGGGATGTGAGGGGGATTTGGGTAAGGACACACAGCTCTTATTCTTTATTCTTACTCATTTAAACACCGATTTCCTGGGGGATGAGAGGACCGAGGCTCTGCCCCAAGTGCATCGATCCAAGACCTTCCCAAACATCCCTGTCCCTGATTTTCCACAGTGCCCGTGGATTGATCCCGATCCCCGATGCCAGCCCGGAGCTGGGCTGAGCTGCAGGATTGCAGGGGAAGGAAAGTGCATTCCTAGCAGGCTCCTTTCGTTTCTGTCCAGGCTTAGCAGGATAGAAAATGACCGGAGTGAATCCAGCTTTTCTGCGAGCCACCAACTCCATCCCATAATCGAGGGGGGGCTCGGTTCTGCTCATCCCCAGCTCAGCAGCAATTCCTGCTTTGTCCCAAGTCCCTTCCCCACCCTAAGGAACCTGCGGGCAGGTCCGTGGCTGGCTGGGAGGAGGACAAGGGATGGCATTGCTGTGACTCAGCTGTCCCCAGGGAACGGAGCCATCCTGAGCCCCAGGGCTCATCACCCCCCATGGCAAATCCCGAGGTGCCAGAGGAATGTGATTTAATCCCGTGTACAAGTACATTTTAAAAACCCCGACCAAGCCCAGCAGTTTTAATTAAATCATTCCCGGCTCGGCCATTCCCCGCAGAGCCTGCGGGAGCATCCCCGGAGCGGGGTCGGGTCCCCCACAGCTCCCGGGAGGAGCCGGGTCCTGCCCGGGGCTGAGCCCCGCCAGCTCGCAGGGGATTAAAGGTGTCCTGAGAACAAGGAAAGTGCCGCAATCAGCTCAGCCCCCGGCCGGGCGGGATTGAAACAGCCCCGTGAGCCCTCTTGTCTCGGGGCTGATTGGAATGAGGCAGCGGCATGCGAGATTAGCGCCTTAAACCCGCGCCCAGCCCGAGACAGACATGTGAAGACATTAGCACAGTTTGGGCTCTTTGAGATGTGCCGGCTAATCCCTGCAGCAGCCGGGACAAAGGGCAGCTTCCGTCACAGCGTGTCCTTCTTTCTGTCCCTCTCCCCTTGCGCTGTCCCCCTTTGCCTGGATCACCCCCCTGGCACCCTGCCCTTCTCCTTGTACTGTCCCTCCTTACACTGTCCCTTCTCCTGCAGCATCCAGGCATCATTCCATCATTCCCCCTCTGGGTGCACCATCCTCTTCTCCTGATATTGTCCCCTCTCCTGACATCATCTCCCTCTGGGTGCACCATCCCCTTCTCCTGATTTTGTCCTCTCTGTTCTCTTTCCTGGCACCATCCTCCTTCTCCTTGCACTGATCCCTTTTCTTTGCACCATCCCCTTCTCCTGATATCGTCCTCTCTCCTGGCATCATCTCCTTCTCCTTGCATTATCCTCTTCTCCTGACATTGTCCTCTCTCCTGACATTGTCCTCCTCCTCTTTGCACCATCCTCCTTTTCCTGATTTTGTCCTCCTCCTCCTCCTCCTTGCCCTGATCCCTTCTCTTTGCACCACTCCCCTTAATCTGTGCCCCCTTTCCTGGACTGTCCCCCCTGTCCTTGCCCCACGTTTCACACCTGCCCAAATAAATCCTCCACCTGAGGCTCTTCTTCCCTCAGCTCCAAACACACAAAGTCCAGTTCCAGGAGCTGCTGGTGCCCAGCTGAGCACCCCATGTCCCCACTGAGATGTCCCCACTGCTCTGATCTGGGAGATCCCAGCCACTCACTTGCTTTGCCCCCTTCAAGGAGCTCCCCATGGATCCCACCTTTGGATCATGGCCTGCTCAGTGTCCATCCCAAAACTGCTGGATTTGAAACCTTCACCTCTTCCTAAGCAGAGCCAAGCGATCAAAATCAAAATCAAAATCAAAATCAAAACCTTGGCTAATGCTTGCCCAGCTGAGATGCCACCCCAGGAGCTCAGCTCACAGAGTTCCCTCCTGTCCTGGCTCTGAAATCCCTGGGGTCAGCCAGCTCTGGGTGGGATTTATGAGCTGTGGGCAGAGCAGGGTGTTGATCCAGGGGCTCTGTGAAGATCCTGAGCTGGGACATTCCCAAGCTCCCAACACCTCTGGGATGAGCTCAGGTGGCTCCCACTCCCCCAGGTCACCTCCCAGGACCAAGCCCAGCAGGAATGGGGGTTATTCCTACAAAGATGAGCCCAAGAGTTTCATCAATAATTTATTTCACCCCCAAACCCCGGGGGTGCCCTGGATACCCTGTATATATTAGATATTGCCAGCTATGATACATCCTATAATACACAGGCACAAAGGGCCCTGAGGTGGCTCAGCTCTTTGTCCCAGTCTGTGCAGGGGCTGTCCCTGAGCCAGGGGACAAGGACGTGTCCTCCTGGCTGTCCCCTGGGAAGTCCTTGTCCTCCTCGTGGTGGCTCTGTGAGTCTGGGCTCCTCTGTGGCGTGCCCAAACCCATTTTGGCCAGTTTGGCTTGTTGCTGTTCCAGGCTTTGTTTCCTCCACTTGATCCTCCGGTTTTGGAACCAGACTTTCACCTTGGAATCACAGAACCACGGAATTAATACAATTGGAAAGGTCATTGAGTCCAACCATTAACCTGGCACCAAACTCTGTCCCCAAGTGCCACATCCCTGTATTTTTGAACACTCTCAAGGGTAGTGATTCCACTCATTCCCCTCCACACTCCCACTTAGGAAAGGGAAAAGCTTGGCTTTCCAAATCTGGCTAATCCTGGGCTCAGGCAGCATCCAGTCTATCCCTGACAAGGTGGAAAACTTCTCCCTGCATCCCAGCAGCTGGACCTGGAGCAGTCCAGCCTCGAGAGGGACACAAGTGGCTCTTGGACAGCCACGCTGTGCCTCAGTTTCCCCATCCGTGATCCAACACCCTTTTAATGAAAACTCAGCAATCAGCACCCCTGGGGCTCCTGTGCCAGGCTGGGGGACAGGTCCCAGCTCCCTGGGGAGCCTCCCTGGGTGAGGTGGGGCTCACCTGCTCCTCGGTGAGGTGCAGGGAGGAGGCGAGCAGGCAGCGTTCCTGCCCCACCAGGTACTGGTGCCGTGTGAATTCCTGCTCCAGCCGTGCCAGCTGCTCGCTGCTGAACATGGTCCGGGCACGCTTGGCTTTGCCAGGCTTGGCTTTCAACAGGGGGAAGCAGCACTTGGAGATGAGGAAGCCTGGAGGTGACACAGAGAGGGGTCAGCGTGGAGAGGAGCCCTCGTAGAGGTCTCCTTTAGAGTGATTCTTTCCTGGACAGGCAGAAGGAATCTTCACATTTGGAGGTGTTCCCTTTAAAGAGGTTTTTTAAGAGGGCCCCGCATTTCCTGAGGGTCTCCTTGGAGAGGTGGACGCAGCTCCCTCATGGAAAAAAATCCCTGTGAGGGAATTTTCCCATGCAGAGGTGGAAGGAGCTCTCCCACATTTGGGGATGTCCCTTTTGGGGGTGTCCCAAGAGGACTCTCCTGGAGGAGATCCCTTTGGAGGGGTGAGAGCAGATCCCCATTTGCAGATGTCCCCATGGGAGAGGTGGATCCAGGCCCCCATTTGGAGACATTCCCGTGGGAGAAGAGGGCAGGACCCTCCCTGGAAATAAAATAATCCCCTTGAGAGGGGACCCCTGGGAGAGGCAGTCAAGGGTCCCCCCTGGAAGAGATGGGAGGAGATCCCCATTTGGGGACATTCCCATGGAAGGGATCCCCTGTTTGGGGAGGTGGCCAAAGTTCCCCCCTCGCAGTGGTGGGAGGGGATCCCCATTTGGGGGTGTCTCCCGGGGAGAGAAGGACAAGTGCCCTCGTGGGGAGGGGGCTCCCAAATGCGGGGTGTCCCCAAGAGAGGCAGATATTGGTCCCCGAGGGAGGAGCGTCCCCCTTTGGGGGGCGGGCGGGGGTCCCCATTGCGGGGTGTCCCCGGGGGCACAGGAGGCTCCCGGTGCGGGTTGGGGGGGGCGGTACCTGTAGCTCCGAGCCGGGCGGCCCAGGCGGGGGGGACCCCGCAGGATGGGGAGACCCCGCAGGATGGGGGGACCCCGCAGGAGGAGGGGGCGCAGAGCGGCGGCAGCAGCGGGGTCGGGGGGCACCCCCAGAGCGGAGGGGGGCGCGGGGGGGGCGAGGAGCGGCCCAGCAGAGCCGCGATGGTGAAGGAGCGGCCGGGGGGCGCCGGGGCCGGGGGCGACATGGCGGGGCCGAGGGCAGCGCTGCCCGAACCTTTATAGAGGCCGGGGACACCGGGGGCGGGACCGCGACATCGCCCCTGCCCCGCCCGGCACCCGCTCAGGGTCCCCTCCCTGTCCCTCTGCCCGACGGGGCGATGTCCCCAAGCCGTGCGGTGTCCCCAGCCCTCGGCAGGGATGTGCCACCCCAATGTCCCCTCCGTGTCCCCTTCCCTCGATTGGGTGTCTCCTCCATGTCCCCCTTTAGGAGGGTACCGGTCCATGTCCCCCTGCCTTTGGCATGTCACCCTCCGTGTCACCTTACCCTCCATGGGAAGACACCTCCCCATGCCCCAGCCGCCAATTTAGGTGTCCCATGTCCCCCTGCCCTTGGCTCGGTGTCCCCCCTGTCCCCCTGTCCCCCATTGGGATGTCCCCACCGTGTTCCCCTGTCCCCTTTTGGAATGTCCCCCCATGTCCCCCTGCCTTTGGCTCGGTGTCCCCCCTGTCACCCTGTCCCCCATTGGGATGTCCCCGTCCCTGGGGCAGAGACCCCCCCGTGTCCTCCCCCAGGGTGACCTTGGCCCTGAATTACTCTGCCAGGAGGATTTGGATGCCCAGGGGACCACACAGGAGCCCAGTGTCACCCCGGGGCCACCAAACTCCCGGGGGAAGGACTTGGGGTCCCCCTTGGCGCTGTGAGCTCTGTGCCCAGCCCGGCTCCCTGCACAGCTGATTTTGGGGGGCTCAGGGCACCCCGGGGAGGGGAGGGGACAGCCCCAGGGATGCCCTGGTGGCAGCAGCAGAGCGGGGGGGGGCTCTCCCCGCACCCCCCAGCTCGCCCCGCTCGGCTGATGGGATTCAGATGGTCATTAGGGGCCGAGATCCTTAAAAACCCCGCGGCTTTTCCTAACGAGCTGGGAAAAGTCACACCTCGGCCCCGCTCAAAGGCTCCCCCGGGGGGGCTCGGGGCTTTATTGGGGAGGAAATGGGGCGAGGGGAGCCGGGCTGGGGTCACATCTGCCCCACAGCATCCCCCTCGTCCGGCTCTTCCCCAAGGGACCAAGCCCGGGCTGGGAATCACCTCGAGTTGGGGAAATCCTCCCTGGTCAGGAGCATCCTCTGCTCTGCCCTGCGGCACCCCCGGGGGGGGCAGATGCACATGGGGACCCCCAAATCCGCGCTACCGGGGCACCCCCGGCCTGGAGCCTGCAGGTGGCAGCTCCCCAGGGGGGTCTGTACACCCCCCCAAAAAAAAAAAATCCAAAAAATCCCGTGGTGGGCACCGTGCCCGGGGTGATGCCACATTCCCGGGAGGAGCACAGGGACCCCTCCCGCTGCCGTGGGGGCAAATAAAGGCCCTGGGGAGGGGGCAGAGATGAAAGGGTGGCAGATTTGGTGTTATTGAGACTTTAATTACGGCCTTGGCAAGATAAAAAGGCAGGAGGCCCTCGGTGGGCTCGGCTGTGTTTGGATAGGAGGTGCTTTCCCTTTTTTTATTCCCTTTTTCCTCTCCCGTGTTTGATGGAGCTCAGCAAACACCCCTGGAGCCCTCCCACAGCCGGGTGGTCCCGGGATGGGGGGGCTCAGCATCCCTGAGCTGGGTGTGGGGCCGGTGGCACCTGTGGGATTGGGATCCAGGTGACCCGGGGCCAAAATGGGGATCCTGGGACCCAGAGGTGCTTTGGGATCCGTGGGAGTCAGGTTCACGTGGTCTGGAGCTGAAATTGGGATTCTGGTGTCCCCATTTGGTATTTGGGATCTGTGGGGTTGGGATCCCAAATGATTTGGGGCAAAATGGAGACAGAGGCAGCCAGCAGGTGTTTGGTTTTCTTTGTTTCTTTTCCAGATGGGAGAATCCTGGCCTGGAGAGATGGAAGGGAGGTGTCAGAAATTTGGGGAGAGCAGGGAGGGCTGGAATTGGGGTCACTGCCCACAAACCCAGGCTCTCCTTTCAGCAGGTAGTGGGATGTGAATCCAGGCATGGCTTGTGCCTAATTTTCAGGATTAATTGCCAAGGCTCCGGCTCCTGAGCTAATTAAAGACAAAGCTGCTCATTAGTCCCGGCCCGGCAGTCTGGGCAGGGTGTGGATTGCAGAGGGACTCCAGGATCCCTGGACAGGCTCAGAGTGACCCCGGGACCCCCCTCAGCTTTGTGTCCATCCCTCTGTCCACTGTCCGTGTGTCCATCCCAGCTTTCACCCCCAAAAACCCCCTGCGCTGTGGGGCCAGGGGCACCCCCAGCCTGCCGGGAAAAGCGATTTTCTACCAGTTCAGCCAAAACTTCTGGAGAAAGGGGAAGCGTTTGGATACCCACCGCCATCAAGTGGCTGAGGAAGGTCCAGACCTGACCCTCGTCCTTTGTGGCATCGTTTTATCGGCATTCCACATGAGCCCCCGTGAAAATCCTCTCTTTTTTTCCAGTTATTAAAGGTCTCCCACCTGCATTTGGGATGCAGAGCAAAGCCCTCCCTTAAGCACCCTAAGATATGCAGCTCCACTTCTTCTCTCCAAAGACCTGACCCAGCTCCAGGGAGGTTTTCCCAAGCAGGACTTGAACGTGCACAGGTCACCTTGGCTGTTTGAGGGTGAAAATACAGGAAAAATAAAGAAAAAAACAATTGTTAAACCCTGGCAGATATCCCTGACCTGAGAACCTCCTTGTACAGGAACTTTTGGAAGCTGAGAGCTCCACCAGAGAAATTTCTGCAAGTAATGACATCTAGAGCTGAATGATAGGGGATAGAACGTGCCCCAAATCCCAAACTGGGGGTGTCCTGCAGCAGAGCTGGGTGCTGGGAATGGGACCCTTGGGACTGGGATGGGTCCCCCCAGGGCTGGGTTTGATCACCCCAAGAATAGGATGGATTTCCCAGGGCTGGGATGGATCCCTCAGCAATTGAGGCAGCAGGGGTAAGTCGTGTTCAAAGCTTTTTCCATGCACCCAAAGGAAAAACGAGGATTTTGTTCTTTTCTCCATAATCTTCCTTTTTTTTGTTCTGTTTTGGAACTCTGGTTCTTTCTCCTGGGGTTCCTGCCCTGCCCTTCCCACTCTGCTTTGCTCCTGCTCCGTACCCAAACTCCTTTGGATGCTGGTGGTGCCAAAGGAGCCACTTCCAGAAAAAAAAAAAAAAAAAATCACTTTTGGGAGCATCTGGGTCCGATTCCCAAAGGCACCTGGAGTGCTGAGCATCTCTGATCCACAGGGATCCCAGTTAGCAGGGAACATCCCAGTTAGTGACAATCCCAGTTAGCAGGGATCCCAGTTGGCTCAGCTGCAGTCAGTCAGCAGCCAGCTCCTGTCACCAACCATCCCAATTAACAGGCTGCTAATTACTGGGGATGCCAGTCAGGGCCGATCCTACTGAGTGTACCCAGACATCCCGGTTATGGGGATCCCAATCACAGTTATGGGGATCCCAGGCAGCGGAATCCAAAGGATCCCGGTTGGGAGGAGCCGCAGGGCAGGGTCCCAGAGCAGATCCCAGTGGTATCCCAGTGAGAAATTCCCAGTAAGGTCCCAGTGAGGAATTCCCAGTAAGGTCCCAGTAAAGTCCCAGTTGGGTCCCAGTGGGGGCCCGCGGAGCCGTTCCCTCAGTGACCGCCAGAGGGCGACGCCAGACCGCGCTGAGCCCCGGCGGCACCGGGAGGGGACAGAGGGATTGGGGACACTGGGATGGGGACAGCGGGACTGGGGACACTGGGATGGGGACAGCGGGGTGGGGACAACGGGATAGGGGACAGTGGGATGGGGACAGTGGGATTGGGGACAGTGGGATGGGGACAGTGGGATGGGGAGAGTGAAATGAGACAGAGGGATGGGGACACTGAAATGGGACAGAAGGATAGAGACAGCAGGATGGGACAGTGGGAGGGGACACACCAGAACAGGACACACCAGAGTGGGACGCACTGGGCCAGCACAGCGGGGTGGGGGACACCAGGGCTGGGTGGGACACACTGGGATGGGACACACTGGGATGGGATAGCCAGGATGGAAGACACCTGGAAGGGACAGTGGGGCTGGGACACAGGGGGTGGGACATCAGGATGGGGCACAGCGGGATGGGACAGTGGGGCTGGGACACACGGGATGGGACAGTGGGATGGGACAGTGGGATGGGACAGTGGGACAGGACACAGCGGGATGGGACAGTGGGGCTGGGACACAGCAGGATGGGACAGTGGGATGGGACAGTGGGATGGGACAGTGGGACAGGACACAGCGGGATGGGACACCCCAGTGCCAGGAGGTTTTTCCCGGGATGTTTATCACGGAGGTTTATCCCGATGGATGAAGGGAGGTTCTGAGCTGTCCCCTCTCCCTCCTTTGGTGCCATCGAGCCACACGAGCTCTGGCTGAGCCTTGGGCGTCCATGTGGGACGTGTCCCCACCACCCCAAGGGACAGCAGCGATGGGGACCATGGGAAAGGGGACATTTGTCCTTCACGTGCTGATTTGGGGACAGCAGGACCAAACTCCTCTGACTCCCAGGGCCGCCAGCCCCTCGCTGGGTCCCCCCTTTTCTCACCATCTGCCCCCCAAATGTGGGAGGGGTCAGCGCCCCTCCATCTGCCCAGCGGCAAAGTCACTCGCGGTGTCATTGCCAAATCCAGAGGCGCCTGCGGAATTGATGGAGCCGGATTTCCACCCCGCTCTGTCAACACGGCCCCTTGGCCTCCCCCGGAGCCCCCTTAATCCCGCACACAATTGCAGTTCTCTGTGCAAACAGCTCGGGGGGGGCTGCGCATGATAAATGTGTCCTTAGGGGGGGCTGAGGCGGGGGGAGCGAACCCCGGCATCGCTAACGGGGGATTGAGGCCGCCCCAAACCCTGCGCCCTTCCCTGACCCCAAATCCCACCGGGAATACGGGGGGGGGCCGCTCCTGCCCGCTATTCCCACCCCATTATCCATTGATTGACTTCTGGGGAGGGTAATAAAAGCCAGGGATTGATGCTCTGAATCCCGGCCGGAGATCAAAAGGAGCAAATTTTCCATGTGGGATCCGCTGGGTAAAGCCCAGAGCGTCGATTTTACCCCCCCTTAGAAGGGCGAGTGAAGGGGACAGGGGGGCAAGGGAGCCTCCAGCCCTCCCCGCTGCGCCAAACAATCAGAATAAAAGCAAATTATTTCTCCCATTTCCCTTCCCGAGATGAGCGATAAAGTGTCCATCCCCAAAAGCGCCTGATAACGCTTTAATTTCACTGCGAGGGCTAAAAATGCCATTTCTACGCAAAGCAGGGCCCCGCTCTCCTCCCCGGCCAGCTTTTGATAAATGTTGGGTGATTTTTTTTTTTTTTTCCTCCCCTCCTTTTATTTATTTTTTTTCCTCTTTTTTGTCCATTCCCCGTTCGGTTGGCGCAGGGGAAATGCCCCCGGAGCTACGAGCTCCGCACAATAAAGCAAAATCATATTTTAGTCAAAATAGGCAGACGGCGCTCGCAGCCAACTTTCAAATTAGCATTTTGAGGGCAAATATGCAGCAATTTGAGATAATGAGGCCTGATTATTCAATCCAATGAATGTTAAATAGGCAGCGAGGGCGCCCGCGCCTTATCTCCCCCGCTTTCCATTTATTTGACTTTAGTTTAGTTTTAATCGTTTCCCATTTGAACTCTTTATTTGTCTTGGCTCAGGCCCCTTCCCCCACAGCCCCACTGCCCTGCTCTCCCTCCTCCATTCCCGGGCATCCCTGCGCTGCCAGCTGGGATTCTGCTCTGGAATTCTGCTCTGGGAATTCTGCTCTGGGAATTCTGATCCGGGAATTCTGCTCCGGAATTCTGCTCTGGGAATTCTGCTCCGGGAATCCAGCCCCTTGCCCATGGATCCCAACCAGTTCTGCTGTTTGTATCCCGAGGAACTGGGATTTGGAATTGGGGCTGGGGCAGCTCTGGGTGTTTTGGTTTGCAGGGTTGTGCATCCTTAGGGAAGAGATTCCATGGAGCTGTGGAATGTTCTGGGTTGGAAAGGACAAATCCAATCCAGTTCAGGGATATGGAACTGTCCCAGGGGGATCCAACCTGGCCTTGGGCACTGCCAGGGATCCAGGGGCAGCCCCAGCAAATCTGGGAATTGCAGCCCAGGCAGGAATTCCTTCCCAAGATCCCAGCCCAATCTCCCCTTTCCCAGTGGGAGCCATTCCCTGGGTCCTGTCCCTCCAGGCCTTGTCCCCAATTCCAGCTCTCCTGGAGCCCCTGCAGGGACTCTGAGCATTCCCTGCAATTTTCCCTTCTCCAGGGGAACATTCCCAGCTCTCCCAGGCTGCCTCCAGAGCAGAGGGGCTCCAGCCCTGCAGCAGCTCCGGGGCCTCCTCTGGACTCTCTCCAGCAGCTCCACGTCCTCCTGAATTTGGGATCCAGGCCTGGGGCAGCTCTGCAGGTGAGGTCTCACCTGAGCAGGAGGCACAGGGACACAATTCCCACCTTTCCTGTGGGATCAGCCCAGGCCTGGGGGGTTTGGGGTCATTTCCAGCCTCTCACACCTTCAAGGTTCTGCATTCCCAGCTCTGAGCTCCAGCACAAACAGATCCAAAGTCCCAACGAGCCCTGGGAATGGGATCCCAGCCCCAGGAATGGGATCCCAGCCCCAGGAATGCAATCCCAGCCCCAGGAATGCAATCCCAGCCCCAGGAATGCAATCCCAACCTTCCCAAGCCAAGCCTGGCTCTGCATTCCCAATCCCACCTCCCACTGTTCAGCTCCCGATGCTCCTGCAGCGATTTTCTTCATTCCATGAAAATCCCATTTCTGTCCCCATAAGGAATTTCTCCCATCCCCAGGGAGGGGCAGCTCCAGGCTGGGAAGATCCAGGGCTGAGCAGCTGCTGCTCCCATTGGGATGGAGAGCGGGATTTTGGACCAAAAGTACAGAAAAAGAGAAAAAAAATCACTTTATTTGTGCTTTTTTCCAGCTTCCTCCCAGGATGGGAGCTGGGTTTGCTGGGACTCCACATCCAGGATGACACTGCAGTGTTTTAGGGGAGGGAGATTCCGTGGAGGAGGAAGAAAAAAAATGAATTAATCAAAAATTGAAGGAAAGGTTTATGTTGAGGGAGAAACTAAAGGAAAAGAAATTAATTAATCAAAAATTGAAGGAAAAGTTAAAGTTGAGGGGGAAATGAAAGGAAAAAATTAAATTGAAATTGAAGGAAAAAGATAAAATTGCAGCAGAAAAAAAAAAAAAAGCCAAAGCAAAAATTGATGTTAAAACAAAATTTGAAGTTGAAGGAAAATTTAAAGCAAAAAAAATTAAAGTTGGAGCAAGAATGAAAGGAAAATTTCACTCAGCCCAGGCTTGCTGCAGAAGCTGCAAATGATCCCTGTGCTCCCTTTGATTCCAGAGTGGAATAAAAAAATACAGTAATTGATTTCAGGGGTAATTAAAAACCCTCCTTATGCATCGAACGCAGAGGTGAGCGTGAAATCAAAGAGATGAATAAATACGAGAGAAATAAACAGGGGCAGGGAAGGTGAAGGGAGATGAAAAAAAAAATCCCAATTATGGAGGTAAAAGATGGGAAGTGGCGGAGAGGAGGAGATGTGGAGAGAGCAGAGATAATCAGAGCAGAAAAAAATGGGGAAAAACAATCAAAAAAAGGGAAAATCAAAAGCAGATGCTGAGGAGGGATAAGGGGTGGCCGGTGGAGCAGGAACAGGGCCTGGACTGGAGGGATAATTGGATTTTAGTTCATCTCAGGGGCGATAAGAAATTCCTGGTGTAGGATTTTTATTCCTGTATGAAGCATATTTTAATGGGGTATTTGAATAGGGCTGGGGCAGCACCCCCGGACAGAGAAAATCCAGAATTTTCTGCAGTTCATGTGAGTGCTCGGAGGATTTTTGGGGTGAAATGTGGCTCCTCCTGCACTTCAGCCCTGTCAGCAGCGTTTGGGGCAGGCAGGAGCCCCAAAAACAAGGAAAGGGACACGGGAATAATGGAATTATGGGGGCTGGACCTCAGAGCCTGTTCAATGTCCCCAAAAACAAGGAAAGGAACACAGGAATAATGGAATTATGGGATTATGGGGGCTGGACCTCAAAGCCCACTCAGTGTCCCCAAAAACAAAGAAAGGGACACAGGAATAATGGAATGGCCAGGCAGGAATGGACCTCCGTGACTGCTCTCTTGTGTCCCCAAAGAAAGGAAAGGAACATGGGAATCATGGAATGATGGGGGCTGGAAGGGACCTCAGAGATCTTGTGGTGTTCCCAAAAGCAAGGAAAAGGACATGAGAATCATGGAATGTCTGTGCTGGATGCGACCTCGGGGCTGGCTCCGTGGTGTCCCCAAAAGCCGGGAAAGGGACATGGGAATCATGGAATTATGGGGGCTGGAAGGGACCCCACATCCTGCTCTCTGTCCCCAAAAACTAAAGAAAGGGACACGGGAATTATGGAATGGCCAGGCAGGAATGGACCTCTGTGCCTGCTCTGTGTCCCCAAAAGCAAGGAAAGGAACACGAGAATCATGGAATGATGGGGGCTGGATCTCAGAGCCCTTGTGGTGTCCCCAAAAGCCGGGAAAGGGCCACGGGAGCCGTGGAATGTCCGTGCCGTTAGGGAGCTCGGGGCTGTCCCCGCGCTGGAGCGGAACGGGCGCGCCGGGAGCGCGGGGAGCGGAGCGGGGAGCGATGGCAGCGATAGCGCAGGGCCCGGAGCGCCCCCGCCGCCCCCGCCGCCCCTTATCGCGACGGGATCGGGCACGGGAACCGCGCCGTGACCTCGCCCCGGGCACGGAACGGGCACGGAGCAGCGCGGGGTTAATGGGGTTAATCAGCACTGGGGCCCCCGTGCCTCACCTGGAAAGATCCGCAGGTGGGAGGGGAGGCGGGGATGGCTCGGGGACACCGGGAGTGATCCGTGGGGACAGCGGGAATCTGCTCCCGTGTGCGCGTGGTCACGGGAGAACCGCCCTGGGGGGCACACAGGTGTGGGGTGTGCAGGTGAGGGGGGTGGGCAAGGGCACAGCTGGGAATGGGCACAACTGGGGGTGAGCACAGCTGGGAATGGGCACAGCTGGGCATGGAAAACCTGGGAATGGACACAGCTGGGCATGGACACACCTGGGTATGGACGATCCTGGGAATGGACACACCTGGGCAAAGACACAGCTGGGTATGGACACACCTGGGCATGGATACATCTGGGTATGGACATTCCTGGGTACAGAAACACCTGGGCATGGACACACCTGTGCTCACACTCGCGTGCACACCGCGCCCGTGGCGGGTCTGGGGCACAGACGGGCGGAGTCACGCCGGGGATGCGGGACCGGGGCTGCCCCGGGCCGTGGGGATGTGCGTGTCAAGGGTGTGACCGCACCGGGAGTGACCGCACCGGGAGTGACCGCACCGGGAGTGACCACAGGGGAGTGACCACACCGGGAGTGACCACACCGGGAGTGACCACAGGGGAGTGACCGCACCGGGAGTGACCACATGGGAGTGACCGCACCGGGAGTGACCACACTGGGTGTCACTGCTCGGGAGTGACCACACGGGGGTGACCACACCGGGAGTGACCACAGGGGTGTGACCACAGGGGTGTGACCATGATGGGTGTGACCATACTGGGGGTGACCACAGGGGTGTGACCGTACTGGGTGTGACCACACGGGGGCTGCGCGTCCCCCCGGCCCCGCCCCCGGCCCCGCCCCTGCACCCACCGAGCCCCGCCCCCTCCCGCTGCCAGGCGGGGCGTGGCCTGGGCCGGACCAGGGGGCGGAGTCAAGGCGGGGTGGGGCGGGGCTAGAGCCGCTCTGGGGGCGGGGCTAAGCCTTAGGGGCGGGGCTATCGCGCGGCCGGGGCCGGTGCCAGAGCGCGTTGTGGGCGTGTCCTGCGCCGTTGTGGGCGTGTCCTGCGCCGTTGTGGGCGGGGCCGGCCCGGCCGGTGTCGCTCGCGCTGCGGCAGCGGCGGCTCCGGAGCGGGGCCCGGCCCGGCCCGGCCGCTTCTCCCGGCCCTGCCCTGCCCCGCCCGGCCCGGCCATGGCGCTGCTCCGGGCAGCCGCGCTGCCCACCGAGGGCTGCCCGGCCTGGCTGCCCACGCACGTCCAGGTGACGGTGGTGCGGGCCCGCGGGCTGCGCTGCAAGGGCGGCGGCGGCGGCAAAGGCAAAGCGGGCGGCAGCGACGCGTACACCGTGATCCAGCTGGGCCGCGAGAAGTACAGCACGTCGGTGGCCGAGAAGAGCGGCGGCAGCCCCGAGTGGAGGGAGGAATGTGCCTTCGAGCTGCCCCCCGAGCCCGGGGCCTGCGCCGGGCTGGTGCTCACCGTGATGCACCGGGCGCTCGTGGGCATGGACCGGTTCCTGGGCCAGGCCCTGGTGTCGCTGGAGCCCGGCCGGCAGCGCGGCCGCGAGCCCGACGAGCGGTGAGTGCGGGACACGGCCGGGGCTGCGGGGCAGCGGGGTGGGCGAAATGGGGAGCCAGGGTGGGCACATGGACCCCCCGTGTGTGCCCTGGGAGTGGTGTCCTGGCATCTTCGTGTGTCCCAGGGTGTGGTCACGGCATCCCTGGAGGGGCAGTGGGGTCACTGTGTGTGCCAGGGTGGGCACATGGAACCCCCCAGTGCCCTGGCACGGCTGTCACTGGGTCACTGTGTGTCACTGCTGGGTCACTGTGTGCCCCAGGGTGGGCACATGGAACCCCCCAGTGCCCTGGGATTGGTGTCCTGGGATCCTCGTGTGTCCCAGTGTGCTGTCACGGCATCCCTGGGTACCCCTGGAGGGGCAGAGGAGTCACTGTGTGCGCCAGGGTGGGCACAGGGGATCCCCCAGTGCCCTGGCACGGCTGTCACTGGGTCACTGTGTGTCACTGCGGGGTCACTGGGTACCCAGGGTGGGCACATGGAACCCCCAGTGTCTTGTCACAGCTGTCACTGGGTCACTGTGTGTCACTGCAGGGTCCCTGTGTACCCAGGGTGGGTGCTGGAGGAGCAGGGACATCACGGGTTCCATGGACACCCTGGGGACGTGCCACAGGGATTAGGGTGTGGCATGTCCTGGGAAGGGTTTATCCCCCATCCCTGGACTGTGCCCGCAGCAGGAAGGGTGGCACGGGTTCCCTGGTGCCCTGGGAACATGTCCCGAGGCTGGGCTGGCATGTGTGACCCCCGAAGGACACCGCAGGACTCGGGGATGCTCCAGGAAGGACATATTGGGAGGGGGTGGGATATGGCCAGGAAGGTGTTGTGGAACAAGGGCTGGAAGGGAATCGTGCTGGACAAGGCACCAGAACATCCATCCATCCATCATCCATCCATCCATCCATCCATTATCCATCCCTCCATTTATCCATCATCCATCCATCCATCATCCATCCATCATCCATCATGCATCCCTCCATTTATCCATCATCCATCCCTCCATCCCCCCGGGACAGGATGGTCCCAGGTCCCTCTGCATCCCAGCAGGCTGTCCCTGCTTCTCTCCTGGGAACCATGGCACAGCTGCACCTCGTGGTTTGTCCCCTGATGGCCTTTGCAGCCTCCCCGTTGTCACCTGCTTTGTGACAGAGGGTCCCCAGTTTGGGGGTGCAGACCCCCAACCCCGTGCTGCCTCCAGCACAAATCCCTGTGTATGGGGGGAATTGCTGATCCTCCTCCTTCTCCAGAAGGGTTTCAAACAATCAGAATGTTTTCGAGCCTTTGCCAAGCACAAAAATGCAGGAATGTGGCTGGAAATCCTGCAGGGAAGGAGTTTTGGGGGCTTTGTTCCAGGGAGCAGCCCCCCCCTGCTCCCTGGCCCCCCGAATCCCGGGAATTCTGCTTGGCTTGCTGCCCGAAGCTGCGGGCTTGGAGAGGAGCCTCCCTCGCCCTCCTACCCAGGGCAGCGCAGGGATTAGCAGGAAAAGGGGTTGGAAAAACTTTTCTTCCCGTGGAGAAACGCGGCTCCCACAGCCCTGGAGGCTCCCGGCTGCCTTAAAATGGGAGCGTGGGCAGGGAGCAGAAATGAGTAACCCCGGAGATCCTGGCTGGGAGTTCCCCCCCAGGGTTTATTTTGCTTTTCTTAGCTAAATGCTGGCAGGCTGGGCGGTGTCGCAGGAGCTGGGTCGGGATTTTTGGGGCCTAATTGAAACCAGCAAAGCTTGGGAGAGACACGGGGGGATGTGGAACAACTCCATGGTTTGGGGGATGAGCTGGGGCAGGGGCTTGGGGACAGCCCTGCCCCTGTTTTTGGGGAGCTGTGCAGAGCAGGAGCCCCGTGAGGCCCCACCAGGGCTCGGTCCTTGCTCTGGGCATCTCAAAGGTCTGGTCAGGGGCTGTTAATCCCAGGGGAGCAATGTCCAGCCTGGCCTGACCCCGTGTCACAGCTCCTGCAGCCAAGGGGAATCCAGGCTGTGAGGCTGGACATCCCCAGGGGGGTGGGGAAGGCTCCAGGGAGACTTTCCAGAACCTTCCAGACCCTGCAGGGGCTCCAGGAGAGCTGGAATTGGGGACAAGGCCTGGAGGGACAGGACCCAGGGAATGGCTCCCACTGGGAAAGGGGAGATTGGGCTGGGATCTTGGGAAGGAATTCCTGCCTGGGCTGCAATTCCCAGATTTGCTGGGGCTGCCCCTGGATCCCTGGTAGTGCCCAAGGCCAGGTTGGATCCCCCTGGGACAGTTGAGGTGTCCCTGAACATGGATGGGGTGGCTCTGGATGGGATTTAAGGTCCCTTCCAGCTCACCCCATCCCATGATTCTCTCATTTGCTGTCTGTCTCCCTCCCTTCCTGTGGCTTTGCTTGCATAAGGAAAATTCACTTCCCCTTGTGGCATTCAGGATCAAAAAGAGTTTTAAAACTCTTTATTTTCACCCGTGGCCCCCGAGGATGGAAGTGAGCACAGAAAACACGATGGAAGCTCTCCCCCTGTGTCCCGAGGGTGGCTGGCAGCTCTGCAGCCTGGACAGGCCACACTGTTTATTTTGGAGGAGAATTCCAGGGGCTGGAGCTTGTCCAGCCAGGTGGGAGAAGGATCATGGGGAGCTCAAGGAGTTCTGGCTCTTTGGGAGCTTCCAACCAAGCTCCAGCATCTGCTCCAGCCCTGCTGGAAACAACTTTGTACAGGAGGAAACTTCCATTCCCAGATTAAAAAGAGCAAAACAAACAAAACCGAGGCTCCCACCCTCGGGGCTGGCCCTGCTGAGCCCACCCAGGTCTGTGCTGGGGAGATAACGGGGCTGAGCCTCTGTCCCTGGCTGGGTGCTGGGCTCCCATCCTCACCCTGCTGCCAGCTGCTCCAGCAAAGGATCCATTGTCAGTGTGCTGACCTTGCTCTCATTTCCCTGCTGATTTTTCTTTTTTTTTTTTTTTTTTTTTTTATTGCACAGAAACTTCACCGGTGATAATTATGATCCTTGTTTTCAGCTTGGTGGAAAATGTTCCGTCAAACTTGGCCTCTTCTCCGGGCAGGAGCTGCTGGGGAGGCCGGGGGTGTTTATGAGCTGCCTCGTGCAGTTTAGTCTGGGTCATTTCGGTGCTTTGCCAGGAGAAAATCAACTCCTGGAGTTGCACAAGAGCAGCCCGAGAGCTCTCATGGCCTTTTTGGGCATCCCAGGGTTTGTCCCACGCTCAGGCAGCTCCAGGGATTGGGCTTGGGAGCAAAGCAAGCTCTGAGCATCATTTCCCCCTCTGCACTTGGGCTTTTGTGTGTCCAAAGAACCCTGGGCAGGATCTCCTGGTCCTCACCTCCCTCCCTGACCTGATCCTGCAGTTCCCTGTCCTGTGCTCAGTCCCTGCAAAACCAGGAGCCAGCTCAGGAAAAGAGGATTTTGGGGAACTCACAATTCAGCTGTTGCTTCTGTTTCCCAACATCGAGGAAATGCCCTTGGAGTCCCCCTGGGGGCTCGTCCAGGGACTGTCCCCTCCACACCCAGAACATCTGCAGGCACCTGGCAGAGCTGGGATTCTCCAGCTGACATCAGGCTGGGTTTGCATGGAATCAGAGAATCCCGGAGTGGTTTGGGTTGGAAGGGACTGTAAAAATCATCCAGGGCCACCCCTGCCATGGCAGGGACACTTTCACTGTCCCCAATGTCCAGCCTGGCCCTGGGCACTGCCAGGGATCCAGGGGCAGCCACAGCTGCTCTGGGCACCCTGTGCCAGCCCTGCCCACTCTGCCAGGGAACAATTCCTGCCCAAAATCCAATTCTGGAAAAGCCATTCCCTGTGTCCTGTCCCTCCATCCCTTGTCCCCAGTCTCTCTCCAGTGGATTTGGGGACCTGTCCCTTGGCCAAGGTGTCACATCCCTTGGGTGAGCAGCATGGGAGGGGACACTGAGTGGGGACAGGAGGTGCCTGGGAACCCAAAATATCTTTGATTTTGCTGTGTGGATGTGAGGCTGACGGTGGGAGGAAGCAGCAAAAGTCCAAGATTTCCTGGGCTGGCTAAAGCAAGGCCTTAGTTGCCATTCCCTGGTCCCTCTCTCTCTCTGAAGTTCCATTATTTGCCTTGTGTCCCACAGATCTCCCAGCCCCTCGGACATGGGAGAGGCAAACACTGACCTGCCAGGGCTCAAACCCCAGGGCTTTGCAGCACAGGGATCTGGGTTTGAGGGACAAGGAATGCAGCAGGAATCAGAATTCCTGGCTTTGCTTTTCCTGCAGTGACTTGCAGTTGCTGCCTGGGCTGGCAGTGACAGGGAACTCGTCTGGGGGAGTTGTTCCCTCTGCAGAATTAGCTCAGCTCTGACTTCCCCAAAGCCCTTCCGTGCTGCACTTCCCTCTTCTTGTTCCTGTTCCTGCCCAGCTGTGGGGGCACCTGCTGCTCCCTGGGCTTCAGTGGGGCTGCAGCATCCCCAGCCTGGCACAGGGTGGGCCTCTCCTCCCTCTCCATCAGCAGAGGACTTTTCTTTTGGCTGCCAAAGTCCTTGAGGCTACCAGGGCTTCCCTGTGGTGATGGAGCTCCTCTGGGACCAGGCTCCTGAAAAGGGACAGGGAATTCCTTGGGTTTGGGAGGAGAATTCATGGAGCCAGAGAGAGGAAGAGGAGGAGGAGGAGGAGGAGGTTGTGAGCCCCAGCCCTGGCATGGGCAGGGAGGCTGGGACAAGCAAAGGGCTGATCCAGAGGCTCTCCAAAGGGACCCATCGTGCCCAGTGATGGGTGCTGCCCCTCTGCTCGGTGTGTTGGGACTTGCAGGGCTCCCTCAGAGCCAAGGATGGTCCCAAATCTCACCTGGCACTTGTCCCTTCCCCTCAGTGGTGGGACCCATCCTGTCCCCTCCTTGCTGTGACAAATGCCTTCCCTGGCACTGTGCTCGTGTTCCCCCTGGAATGGACCCGCTCTCATCTCCTCCTCCAGCCCCTCTGGACACGCTGAGCTTGTGGTATCTCCCTCCCTCATTTAATTAAGATCAGGAGATCATTAGCAGAGGAATGAGGCTGTGGCAGCT